GCTTCCAAATGGCTATTCAGTCTAAGAGAGGGGACGAGAACTATTGCAATCATTTAGGGAGACAACAAACACTTCAAGCACAAGTTATGACAACTCTTTAAGACCTGAAAATGGAAGTTGGAAAATTAATTAAAGCATTCTCATAACTATGAACACTGCACTGTGTGTAACAAAGTGTACAAACACCTACTACCCACTTCACACACACCAGTGTATTATATTGCCTGTAATGCACAGCAAGGAAAGCCCAGCAAACAGTGGGGTGATTCACACGCCAACAGGCGTTTCACATGTGCAAAGGTGACTGGATCACCAGTTTCTGATGAAACCTTAAGATATATGCAATGTATTCTAGAACATCTAAAGATGAAGTCTGAGTATCTCTCATGTTACCTAGCAAAAGGTTAGCTGGAACGATCATTTAACACAGATGATTTTAGGATTAGTTACATGGTTAGTCTAAACAATGTGCACACACATATTTAATTTGAACAAAATTCTTAAAACTACGCTTCTCTAAAATTTACAAACTATATAAAATGCATGATTTGACATTTATAAAACCTCAGCCCTTTTATAAAAAACAAAACAAAGCCACGGAGTTTTGTTTTGTTTTAAGTTTAAATCTATTGTTTTTTCTTCTCAGCAGTTTTAGTTCCTATGATAAATAAAAAATATAAACAGCACTCCACCATGGCCTTAATAATGCAAGGAATAAATTAGCAAAAGTCACACTGTAAATCAAAATAAATAACTTCTAAACTACTTTTATTTTTTAAAAATGGTCTCTTTAATTGCACAGTATTTTAAATGTTCAGTAGCAATGCAAAGTCAGTTGGGTATTTTTCTAAATGCTCCGGACAGCATGAAAGCATCGTGTATCATTTTTCAAGCTTTACACATGGAAAATACCTTGGTCAAACCATCAACTGATAAAACTGCTAAATGTTTTGGTAGTCTCTTACTGCGGCAAGATGCTGCGGTATCTCTCACCCAAGGCTTTTAGTCCTCTGGCGCTCACCTTGCTGGGGAAGATGACCCCGCTTTCTGATCCAAGTGAGGTATTCTGGTTTACACCAATAGCTTTGATATTTTTTAAAAATGTTCACTGTTAGCTACAACTTTCACAGCAGGAGACCATCAACAGCTCAACAACAAACACTCCATGTACTCCAAGGCTGCAAAAGTCTCCTCCAAGGGCTTCACCAGACTCGCACTCTTTTTTCTGGGGGTGTCACACAGACATATCAGGCTTTTGGCTCTCCCCAGAGCTATTCTGCAGTGGAGGACCGAGCTACAATTCAAACACACCCAGGAAAACAGGACACCTGAAAAGATATGATCTTACCTCAGACTATTAGCAGTAGCCTTAAACCCACCTGGCAAGTATATGTATGTGTGTATATATATGTACCTATGCACACACACACACACACATATATACTAAAAAAAAAAAAAAGAAGACAACAGCGCAATTAATACTGTCATAGCCTCAGTCAGGTATCCATGGGACACACTTCAAAATTCTAAATATTGGCAACACAGTGTTGTATACAAAACAGGTGTGGGCAGATGCCCAATGTAAATGTGCATTCAAAATACTCTGTATCTATATACTATCACTGATATAGCTATGATAGCTTGGGATTGTATCTGAAAATATGGAGTTTCTGTAAAGTACTGAAGACAAAGGAAAGTGTTGCCCTCTTCTTAGTGGTGGGACAGGCCTAACTTGAAGGCATTCATCCTTGAGTGCTGCAGTTCCAGCACTCAAGTGGGGCAAAGACAGTATCGCTGAACTACCTTTTACTGTTTAAGAAACACGGGATGTTATAGTTCAGTTATTTCCATCAACACAATTACCCTGACAAATGCAGTATTTGATCAGTACCATTGCTTTCATGTTTATTACTCGTGTCCTGTCTATAGGCTGTTAAATACAGAGACTGATCTCTTTGTTGTGGAGGAGTTCACATGCAACTCCTCATTCTCTCTATTATCACCGCAAAAAACAAAGGAAACATCAAGGCCAATATTTTGTCCACAGTTAATTTGCTTTACCCAACGTAAGAGAGTCTAAGGGGAACTAGCACATCATTGCACAACATTGCAAACCACCAAGTGACTCCTGTTCTTATACTTTTAAAGCATTTTCAGTGCTTGAGGACAAAGCACGGAACCTATTACAAGAATTCTCTAGCAATCAACACACTTTCAGGGATTCAATACTGCATTAAACGTACGCAGAGGCGATCAATACTGATAACCCAGGTCTGGGCGCTGCAGCACACAGTCCCATGTGTTTCCTCACACCGTTTTAACAGCGTGGCTAAGCCTACTGATCCAATGCTCTAGGCCAGACTGCTACATGCAGGCAGTAGGCAGCATTCTGATGCTCATGTGATAGGGAAAAAGACAAAACACCTCTCTTACAAACACACACACACACGTTTCTGTTCATGCTTAAAGGATTTCAACTTTTGGCAGAAGTAAATTCCTACATAAAAAATAAATGTAGAAACTCATTAAAAACACAAATATAATAACTGCATTATTAAAACAGCTGCATCTACACTATGGTGTAGTACTTAAGTGTAAAAAATTAAAACATAAAAAAAAACCCCTTAGTGTACAACTGAGATGAGACCCACTTCCCAGTCCGAACCTCAGCGTCAGCGCTGCATTGATCTCTACATTAAAACACGCTCCACGGATGGTGACCAACCAAATCCAGGGAAAAACTGTTGCCACAGGTGAAGAGGTCCTCTCCCTAACCAGACAACGCAGGACAGATGGCGCAGAGCCCCTCCGGTATCGCCGCAGGGACAGGCGATGGCAGATCCCGCAGCACATCAGCAGTGGAAGCTGCATGAGCACTACGTCCTGAATCGGTTTGCTGAACACGGTTCAGATTATTGGATATGTCTATAAGCATAATGCTCTTTAGAAGCATTTACTGTATACCCAAACTCTACTCGCTGCAACACACGGTGTCGCACAAGTAGTGAAAATGTCTTCGTATTCAAAGGTGCTTGGACATCATTTTCAGGCAGCATTTTACCTTTATTTTAAGTGAGTTCCCACTACAAAGATTTTAGAAGGAAGAAGATGCCAATAGTTTCTTTTTTCTTTTTCATATTTGAAACTGTGACAGACACCTAAATAAATACCTACTTTTACTTGCCTAAGTCTATTCTATTCTGAAATCTCTAATTTTTAAATAAGGGATAAAATGTTGCCCAAAAGACTAGTTATAATAATACATTTGTGTTTCTACTAAATCTAAAAATCAGAATAGTTCTCAGTTAAAAAGATACAATTTGTATCAACAGTAAAAGGTACTTTCTGGTTCTTCAGGGCCTTACTTTAAATTCCAGCAAGCGTACCAAAATTATCAGCAGTAATAGTGTAAACTAGTGAATCTTTTTTTTTTTAACACTGAACATTGTTACAATGGATGGAAACCTAAAACTGTCGGCAACTGACTATGTCACGTAAGTACATCTGACATCAATTGCAAAATCTATTTCTATTATATATATAGATAGATATATAAAAGCTTATGAGGTGCTAGTAAAACCCATGACTTACAACCAGAAATATCCCTTACTAATACTAAACCAGACTTGGCTTGTCTGTTTCTAAAACTACACTATTTGTGGCAAGAATTGGGCCTACATGATGCAACAGGCCAAAAACTAACTCCAGGAACACATACGGTATCTTCTCTCCCCGCAACCCTCCCCTCCCCAGCTGAAACAGAAAAGTTTAAGTTATTATTCTGAGCTACAATATCATTACCATAGTGCAGTTAATAAATGTTGCATATCCTCAACACACACAACCTTTCCAGGCCAGCCTTGATAAATAGCAAGAAAAATCAAACAGTATCTTAAATACAAAACTTGCATTGAGATAATTAAATTCATTTAAAAACAGGTAAATATTTTATGAAAAGCGTATTTTATCCAGTACACTGGTGCAGCAATACAAAGGAAAAACACATAAACCGACTAAACAGGACCCTACGATTTCAGGCCCCCTTCTACTGACCAGAAATACACAGAGCTGGGTAACAACACATGGGAACTGAAACAGGGTGGCCTGGTTTGGGGAGGTTCTGAGCATTTGCAGCTTCTGCTAGGTTCAAAGGGGGCTGCAAACTCTCAGCACCTCTGAAAATCAGGCAATAAGGCTTTTACCTAACCCATAAATTAATTTTAAAAAAGAAAAAAAAAGGGGTTTTTTTCCTCCTCTGATTGCATCTGATCTTACTAATCGACTGCATCAACAAAACACGTAACTATTTAAACAAAACAAAGAAAGCAATTAAAAGTGCTGTACTATAAATTACTAATATATTGTTACCCATTTCACCATTAACTGGTAACTTAATTATTTGTTTTAAAAAAAATGAAATCAGTGCTGTAGTAAATCTTTGTTTCCTATAAATAGATGATTATAGCACAAAAAAGCTCACAAAAACAAACATACATACATACATACTTATGGTGTTGTAAAAATTTCAAAAACTTGGCTTGAAAATTGCCTGTCAGAAGTAGCAAAATCCTCTTTCTGCACGTTGTTTTAATACCACGCAGCCCAGGGACAAACATCCAGCAAGTTAAAAAACTAAAACAATAACCCCAACAACATGTAACAAGGATAGAAAGTGCTGCATATAAACCCCTGATGCACCAAA